GCCTGGGGAAGGCTGAAAAGGGGAGGGAAGAGATGAGAGAGACAAAAGCCCAAATGAGATTCCTTTGGAATTAATAAGTAAGTCTTTATTTGCACGCCATAGTTTTTTGTCCCTGCTTTGCGTGGTGGGATCACCGGCTGCTCCCTGGCTGCTGCCTCCCTGCAGGGAACATCTCCTGCTAGAGCTTCCAGCTCCAGGGGCTGTGGATGGGAAGGAGGGAGCAGGGAATGGTGGTGAAGCAGCAGCAGCAGTGAGCAGGCACCGCTTGCCTTTGACCACTTGTTTGATTTGAGACTGTCCTCAAACACAAGGTCATTTACAGCCTGCCCCGGGCTGCCAGACGAGGAAGTTACCTTGCGAAGGAAGGAACCAGCCCATGCTGTCTAAATATTGTCAATTGTGTGCTGAATGGAGGCCACAGCCTGAGGAACCTCAATAGTAGCTCTTTGTGTCCCTGGCTGCCTCCTGCCAAAGTACTTTCCATAATTAGGAATAAAACATATTTACATTCCTGCCGTCCTCGGTGCCGGCGCACACCTGTACGTGTGTGGCTGTTCATGTACAGGGTGCAAGCCTTTATATTCCTGTGCTTCTGGAGTGAGTGCTCCTGCCTGGAGTCATGGGAATGGTGCAGCAACCAATGGAGGTAACTGGGAGGTGCGGGACAGTCAGGGGTTGTGATGGTGAGAGGAGAAGAAATCCAATGGATCCCCCCTTTGCCAAGCAGGAGAATAATCCCCGTATAGAGAGATTCTGCATTTTGTCTGAATCGGAAGGTCCGGCCTGAATGCTCCCTTTTAAAATTCATTGACGTTTGCATGGAAACCAGAAAAATGGGCTTAAGTCAAGAATGCAATAACCTCACTTAAAACTGCTCTCCATGGCAGGCACTCATCCGCTTCCAGCCGTTCTGCTCGCGGGAAGATAAATGGAGGAGAGGAATCCTGTGTGTGGCAGCGGGGTTACAATGCACTGGGTGATGCACAGCAGCTTTTCCAGGCACGTTTCTCCCCCTCCCTCCATGATAACTCACGGCCAGGCATTGATTAGTTCGGTTTGGGGGGGAAAAGAGTTGTGCAGGACAACTGGATACTTCAGCAAAGACATTCCTGAACCGAGTCCAAGTGGGAACGGAGCGGTCACGTGGGGCTGGCACCATGCCTGCTTCCAGCTGCTGAGTTTCATTAGCAGACAGCCAAAATACATTAATTAGTCTTCTAGCATAACTCTCCTGTGCAGGCAGTGCTTCGGCTTTCACAGGGGCAGGGGAGATGGTCTGGACACTGTGTGAATGGTGGCTGTGATGCAACCTCTGTGTCAACACGTGTCCCCTGCCGGAGGCTTCCAGGAGTCCCCCTGGGCAGTGGGATCATGCTGGGGATACCAGGGAAGAGGAGGCAGCCTGCTTTAGGTTTGGCATTTCCCAAAGTTCAGATCCAGGGCTGTTTCCAACCTGTCTTTGTAGGGGGCTGTAGGCAGGAGGGGGTCAGTCTCCTCTCCTGAGAAGAGGTGACAGGACAAAAAGAAACGGCCTCAAGCTGCACCCGGGGAGGTTTAGGTTGGATATTGGGGCGAATTTCTTCCCTGAAAGAAGAGTGGGGTCCTCATCCCCAGAGGGATTTAACAGCCACGTGGATGTGGCGCTTGGGGACGTGGGTTAGAGGTGACATTGGCAGTGCTGGGGAACGGTTGGACTCGATGATCTTAGAGGGCTTTTCCAACCTGAAAAATTCTGTGATTTCTTCTATGATTTTATTTCTGTATGAAGTTTCTTCTGACAGATGTCCCCAACAATGATTTCAGACAAATACCCTACAGATGCAGGGTATGTCTGGCTACATCTGTGTTCCTCTCGCAGGACAGTCAGAAGAGACACCCACAAATGCACCCGGGTAATCCCTGCTCCTGTTGCAAAACCACTTGTAAAAATTCTGCAGAAATCCAAGGAAAAAGCCGTGCTCGGTCTAATCATGAGTTTACTTTTTCTCCAGAAGCTTTCTGAGCTTTCAGGCACTTAATGGAAACACCAGTGCTCACACTTGGAGGGCAGGCTGGAAAGTTTGCGTGGGCTTGTGTGTGTGCCAGGGAGTCAATTTTTGTCCGTCAGAAGCCTCTTTCCATTATGCTTTTGTCAGACTTTGCCTCCGTTAAGGGAAATTTGGACTTTCCATGTCAAAGCCCTCTGCAAATGTTTCCCAAGACCTCTTGTCAGTGCTGTAGTTTGTACAGGAACACCTCCCAGTGCTTGCCCAGGAGTGGGGAAGGCAGTTCTAACACTCCTGCCCTTTGAGGGAAATGTCTGTTATTTGGGATTTTTCATTCTTTCCTCCCTCAGCGTTCAGCATTTCGGATGCAGGCTCATGCTCCTGCTCTCTTTAACAGCCTGTTTTTCCTCTAACCACTTCCAGCTCCAAAACCTCTCCACATCTTCTCAATGTAAATACACTTAACTTGCCCAGAGCAGGCTGGGGAGACAGTGGTGACCTTCAGTGGAGAGCAAAGCGTTTCAGTTTGACCTACTTTGCTGCAGAGTGGGTTTGGCCGTGGCAGGGCAGCTCTCTGCTCCCTGCCCTGCTCTTGGGGAAGGTCCTCGGGGAGATGCCCCATGTGAGTGGGAGAGCAGGGCTCAAGGAGATGGAAACTTCAGGCCCTGAGTTTAGGTGATGTTTGGGTAGCTGGGTGCTGCGTTTCTCCCTAGTGCCAGCTTTTATATTTGCAGCTTTAGATGTTTGATTGTGCCTTTAAAAAATCTGCCACGGGTCAGCCACACAAAATGCTTGTCACAAAATTCTCGTTTTTGACTCATTACCTCGCTTTTTTTCCTCTTTGCTTGCTTTCCTCGGGGCTGGTTGTGCAAAGGGAGCAGCTGCAGGAGGAGCCAGGCTGCCATGGTTCTTCCCAAGGCTCCTTGGCTGCACCAAGAAAAGCCATGGTTGCTTTTTCAGCTCTCCCTTGTCCTCTGTAAGAACTTCTGGGCATTGCCAGTGCAGCTGTGGCTCTGCCTGGGTGGCACAGGGTGCCCAGAGAAGCCGTGGCTGCCCCATCCCTGGCAGTGTCCAAGGCCAGACTGGAGTAACTCGGGCCACTGGAAGGTTTTCCTGTATTGTATTAAATGTATTTAATGTATTAAATGGGAATAATTTAATAAATGCACACTAGGATTACTTAGCTCTTCAGATTTTGCCATTTTCCGCAGTACTGGTTTCTCAGGAGGGCTGTGGGGTGGCCCCTCTGGAAGTACAACTGTTTTTTGTTAGGGGACATGTGTCTTTAAAACCAAGTTCTCTCCTTATCTCAAGCTTAAAGTGCAAAATTCCCAGGTTGGAAGCAAGTTAATATTTCCTGTTCCAGCTGCATCTGCATTCAGTCGTGGAAGCAGATACTTGGCTGTAATTCCAAAAAAAAAAGAAGAATATAAATTGATATTGCAGGTAAGAAGAAGCAACTGAGGAAAAAACCCTTTCAGAAGTCCTTCAAGCAGTTTTCATGATAATTTTTGCTTATTTCTGAATAATTCCTACCACTGGTCACTCATTAAAAACAACAAACCCAAACTCAACCCCACATCCCTGCTGATAAACACCGTGGACTTGCTTGTAGCTTATCTGATGCCTGAACATCTGTTTCTCCCTAGCTGAGAGGTTCCCTCGGATGAGTTAATGCAATTCCCTATGCAAAGGTTAAACAAAGTTGAGAGGCTCCAGCCAGTGGCCTTGTGCCACGGGGCCTGTGCTGCACAAACAGCTTCACTGTGGAAATGTCCCATCGTAATTCAGAAAGAGGCCCAGGAGGGGAAAAGAGTCACCCAGCCCAAGCCTGGGCTGCAGCAAGGTTGGACTCGATGGTCTTGGAGCGCTTTGCCAGCCTTAATGATCCTGTGATTCTGAGCTTTTTAGATGCTGCAGTATGGAAAGGGTGCTTGGAGTGTGCATTTACCTCGGCTCTGAGGAGCTGCACCTGCTTCCTTCTGCCTGGGCAGGGCCTGGAAGCTGAAGGCCTGTTCTTGGCAGTTTGTGTGCACAGGACTATTTATGTTTTTGATTATTTAACAGGATTATTTACATTTTTGATTATTTAACACTGTTCTGTGTGTTTGACAGCAGGCCCTTTGGTGGCTGGGACAGCTGGAGGTGGAGAGGGCTGCAGGGTGATGGCAGCACCGACTCCTGGAGCTGAGCTGAGCCCTGGGCTTGGGCGCCAGAGATGCTCCAAGTGACACAGAGCTCTTCCCACAGGGATGTCCCATGGCCATGGGGGGATTGTCACACAGCTGGAACCTTGTGGTGGACCAGGGTGGTCTTTGGGATGAAGCTTTCCCAGCCCCTGCCCCTCTCCTTCACCCCTCGGAGGAGCAGCTTGGGTGTAAGCACACCAGGCCCCTGTGGCCCAGAATCCACCGTGGGGTTGTGCCCGTGTCCATGAGCTGTTCCCAAACACCACATCCACACTTCTCCTTTTGTGCCCTTTCCTTTCTGTCTCGGCTTTCAGCTCCTCTGGCTCCACATCCTGCGGGGCCGCACTTCACACACGGAGCAGGAGCATCAAAGAGGAGATCCTGAATAAAGCCCCCACTTTATGACATCTCTTCAAAGTGCCTTTTTAAGAGTTCAAAGGACATGAGGAAAGGAGGGGATCAAAATCAAAGGAAGATTGGGGGGAGGGAAATTAAAGCCTCAGAGGAACTTTATGGCAAGTTTTCTGTAACGCTTTCAATGCCAAAATCACAAGTGCTCCCAGCACTGACTCTTCCCTGGCCATCAGATTTCCTGTTTACCTGCACTGGTGGCAGGGCAGCTCAGCAGCTCCAGGTAGCTTCAGCCCCACACACAGACACAGGACACCCACAATTTCACTTTTTTATTCATTTTTTTGCCAGACCAAAACTTGCCATTCTGGTCCTTCGGGACAAAGGGGAGATGTTTGTTCTGGATTGCCTGTCCTGGAAGTCCTGGGGCTGACAGCAGAGCTCACCTTTAATGAAAATTTTTTATTTTTTAGCTTTTAGGAAATGCATCCCACTCTTCTCTTAGTGTCTTCTACTGCAGGACCATCATTTTATCCATGTTTGGGAAATATCCATCACTGCTGGGGGAAAGGGACTTCTCCTCCTGAGTGAAGACTGTGGGATCTGACTTGAAGCAAGACAAGAGAAGCAAAGCCTCTGTGTGAACGTGGCAGGTAACATCTACAGACTCTGCTTTACAGGGAAGAAATGCAAATCAGTGAGGTATAAAGTGCTTAATATTCAGTTAGCTCTCAGAATTTTATCGGTTTCCTGTCTGTTTTTAAACAGAATAGAAAAAAAGTCATGTACAAAGCAAGGGGAAGAATTCAGGCTGGTTTCAACTCAGGATCAAACCCTTTATAACGCTGGACTGAGGTGAGCTGGAACCAATCCCTGCTCTGGCGAGCAGAGTGGGGCAGGGATGAAGCTGGAAAGGACTGAGATGCACATGATGCTTTTCCCAAGTTGTGTTACAGTTTGGGGGAGCTTTCAGATTTGTGCCTTTAAACTGAAAGACTGAGAAGACAAATCAATTATCCGAGAAAAGAATGTGGATATTGCTGGAGGGAGGGAAGGCTCAGGCTCAGGGCAGCTGTGGAGTTTCCTTGGGGTTCCTTGAGCTGTGCAGGAGCAGCCTGTGGCTCCAGTTTGGTGCTCCCATCTTTAAACCATCAGTTAACAAATGCATTTCCTCCCTAGGGGGGTCTGTTTCCTCATCCTACTGCTTTTCCAGAATCCACAGTGTATGTTCCTGCAGGAATGCTCAGCCCTCGTCCTGCCCAGGTGAGCTCACCTGCACCAAGTGCTTCTCCCACAAGAGCTTTCCAGGACTGCTGCTCAGAGAATGGCACAAAACTGCTGCTGAATTCCCTTCTCATTAATTCATTATCCTCTTTTTAGTATACTGAACTACACACCTTGCACTCTGTGCTCTGCTTTAGGCAGGCACCCAAAAATAGTCTGGAGTAGTGCAAATATGGGAGATAAAACTCAGTGTGTGCTGGACTGTAGTGGAGGTTTCTGGTGCTGGGCTGTGTGGGTGCTGGTCTGGAGGACAACTACTGCCAAAAACCAAATGAAATTGCTTGTTTTTCACCCAGAGAGGTCTCAGTTTCACTAATTGTCACTGCAAAGGACACCTCAAGGTGAAATTCAGCAAATGTTTCATACATCTCAGCAAAAAGATAGTTTTATTCACTGGTGGCTGTAAGGGGGAATTTAAGGCATGTGGAGTAACTAATGAGACTGGAACTTGCCTTGGAGACCGGGGCTGGGACCTGGAAGGTTTGTTTACAGCAGGGGATTTGCATCGAGGGGAGACCCTTTAGTACAGGCTCTTTCCATTAATTGGTTTGAAGCTGCCTCAGTGAACAGATGGCTTTATTTCCCTCATGGTGCTGCAGGCCACGTGGGGGGATTTCCTTTCCAAGCACGCCGTGGCAGTGGGGACAGGCACACAGAGCCCCACGGCACACCAGGGCTGGGCTGTGCCAGGGCTGTGCCACACTGGGCCAGGGCTGTGCCACACTGTGCCAGGGCTGTGCCACACTGGGCCAGGGCTGTGCCACACTGGGCCAGGGCTGTGCCATGCTGTGCCAGGGCTGTGCCAGGGCTGTGCCAGGGCTGGACTGTGCTGTGCTAGGGTTGGGCTGTGCTGTGCCAGGGCTGTGCCACACTGTGCCAGGGCTGTGACACACTGTGCCAGGGCTGTGCCAGGGCTGTGTCACATTGTGCCATGCTGTGCCAGAGCTGTGCCATGCTGTGCCAGGGCTGTGCCACACTGGGGACAGAGCACCAGGGGCTCAGCATCCCATAACAGCTCTGCTGTTAAAGCACGTGGCAGTGTCTGGGAGGTTGTGAATGTTCTTCCCACAGGATTTGGGAGCCTGTGGTTTCCATCCACATCAGCCAGGGCCCAGAAGCAGACAGGGGCTCTTTGGAGCTGCCCTCTGGCTTGGCCGCGGATGCAGCAGCAGGGACACAGAATGCTCCCGGGGCTGGGGTGTTTTGCCTGCTGGGGGGAGCAGCAGTGACTCAGCAGAGCTGAAGGTGTCCAGGGGTGATGTCAGTGCTTCCTCCTGGCTCTGGGACACGCAGTTCTCCCCGCTGTCACCGCTGGTGACACCTCCCATGGGGCGTTTGGGCTGTAGGACAGAGCTGCTGCTCTTGGAGCAGGAGCCCTTGGAGCAGCTCTGTGACCTCCTCTGGACTCACTCCAGCAGGTCCAGGTCCTTCCCATGCTGCAGACCCCAAAGCTGGACACAGTGTTCCAGGTGGGACCTCACTAGAGAGGAGCAGAGGGAGGAGGAATCACCTGCCTTGGCCTGAGCCCACCTTTCTTTTAGTGCAGCCCAGGGCATGGCTGGCTTTCAAACAGCGGAGGCTTGGTGCTCCCTGACAGTGTGGTGGGGCTTTCACACACCTCAAGGTCGAGGAGATGTTAACTGGATAGACTTGAAGTGCTCCTTGCTGCAGGTGGGCTGCAGCATGGCCTCAGCTCCAGGTCTGTTCTGGGCCTTTATTTTATTTCTGTGAGTGTTGCTAAGAGATGATTTCCCCTGGAAGCTGCAGGACCTACACAGATTCAAACTGGTTGAGGAGGGAGGGAGGGCCCCTGACACCCAAAGGGCAAATGAAAGTGATTTGGGAATCCTCAGCCAGCTACACACAGGCACTCACAGAGAGCAGAGCTGGGCACAGGATATGGCCATTTCCCAGGAAGATCCCGGAGCGTGGCACCTCCTGGCGCTGTTTGCAGTGTCCTTTCCCAGTCAAACTGGGGTTTTGTGCTTTTCTTAGGCTGAAAATGGTTATGTACATTCCTAAATATTTTCCTACTTCCCTTTTCGGATGTCTAACATTATGTATTATTTTCTGATACTTACCTAACCCGGGAAATCTGTTTTCCATCTCGCTTCAGCCAAGGTTTTCTTTTTAACCAGTCCTTCCCAGTATTTTCCTTTAACACTTCTGGTTTGCTGAGTGAACTTTGCAGTGTGAGGGTAAATGAAAGTGAAAATGTATTGCTTGTCACATACTGGCTGTTTAGAGAGGGTTTGGGTTTTTTTCCCCCCCCTCTGTATTTGAAGAGGGAGATATAAATCATTGATTTAAAACCAGGGTAATTTAACAAGATTATAGGAGAGGGAAAATCCACTTCCTCCCCAAAGTAACAGTCTCTTAGGTCTCTCCACCTACACAAGCCATATGCATCCTATGAGCTGCCCAAGATCCTCTTTTGTGTTTTTCTGGCAGGACTGTGGTGTAATAATTAAAGTCCATATGCAAAACTTTCTTGGTGGGTCCTTCAATGACTTTGTAATTGGTCAGAGAGTCACCATCCCTCATCCCCCAGGCTTCTCTCTGTGTTTAGAAAGCCCCAGACCTGAAGGGATATTCAAAGTTCAGAGTCCCAGATCAGAGGGATGTGCTCAGGGCTTGCCTTTTTGTGCTGTCTCCCTTTTTAGCCAACACGAGCAAGCTGTGCTTTTCCTCGCTGGGAGCTCGGGGATGGGGAGAGCAGAGGGATTTGTGCTGCAGCAGCGTGGGTGGGATGCTGGATCCGAAGGGCTCTGCATCGGAGCAAAGGGGTGGAGAGAGGGATAGCGAAGGGAATGCTCATCCCTGGCTGGAGTTCTGGTTTCCAGTCTTTGTGCTGAGCCCAGGAGGAGCCTGGGGTGACAGAGCCCCTCACTCAGAGCACTGCCACACCTAAAACTCAGGCACTGGCTGGGCTTAGTGACATCACCCAAATTCACTCCGACCTTGCCATGATGTTCACCCTTCTCCTGAGGGGTGGTGGCTCCCAGGTTACCCAGAGCAGGATGCAGAGGCTGTGCCTGTGTTTCTGAGGCCAAATACTGAGCTCTAGAGACAGGTACAGCCCCAGCTCTCAGTGGCACTGCCACACCTGAGCAGGTACCGCAGCAAATGCCTCAGAATAACAGATATCCTGCTCTTGTTATTCCATTCTCGTTGGGAGTCAGGACTCTCACCAGGCACAGGGACTGGAATCAACAGATCTTTTTAATAGATGTAGCAAACCACACATAATCCTTTGATTCTGGGAGCTGGAACTCAAAGCCCAGCTCTTGTACCACAAACATGGGCTGTCAGTTCAGCAGGAACATGTCACCAGAAGAGGTGTCCTGGAGCCTGCCTTGCTCCCACTGGCAGGAACAGGCTTCCAATAATGAATTTCCAATGAAACGTTTTTCTAATTATAGCAAATTATTTTTACAAACATTTTCCTGGGAAGAGAGTTTGAAACTAGAGCCAAAAAGGAGAAGACTGAAATTTAGGCAGTGCCTGAAAAAAAAATTAAAGATGGATTGCATGCTAGTTGGCTTTTATTATCAGGCCAACATGTAAACTTCACATTAATGGGTTTTAAGGAACTTTATTCTGATATGACCAATTTGTGTCATTGAAAATTGGAATGGCTTAGAGCAGTGCCATCAAACCCAGCTCTTCCCTTTGCTGTCCCCAGGATGCCCTGGTGGCACTGCAGAGGGGTGGTGGCAGAGGTGACAGCCAGCAGCAGGTCACTGGCAACACTGGTACAGCCTGAGCAGAATCTCACGTCCAACAGCCCCCAAGGCAAATTATTTAATATTTATTGTCCTCTCTAAATTCTTCTATTCTTTCTCCAGAACAGAGCCACCCTCCAGTTGCAAACGCTTTTGGTTTGGGGGGAAAAGAAGGAATAATTCTTAGTTACCACTGAGAGACGTGTGACCACCCATGCCTGGATGCCCCATGCCCTACAAACCCAAAGGCAGCGCGTTTGTGCCGATGGACACGGTTCAGCCTTGGCAGGCTCAGTGCTCCCTGCTTTCCCTCCCAGGAGAGATTCCCACTGGAAGCCTAGGGGCTGGCAGTACCATGCTGTTTGTGAGCATGCCTATCTTCCCATGGCTCTTGAGCTCAGCTGGGGAATTTAATTAGAAGTCAACCATGGAAAAATCCATAATACTTACCTAGAGGTGGAGTGGGCTGTGTGCAGCTGAGGGATAATCTTAATGCAAACTTGAATGTAGGTTATTGTTCAGCAGGAAGGAGTTGGTTGATTATTTCTAACAACAAAAAAAATAGAGAAAAACACAAAATACCCCAACCACAAACCCCACGCAGGGCACTGACCTTGGCCAGGGGGAAGATGTGGTGCTATGGATGGTTCTGCTCAAGGGCTGGGCTGGGCTTTGTGGTGTGGGTTATTGGCACCGTGGGATCAAAGCAGGGCTAAGGGAGCCTTGAAATAATGCAGGTGGTGGATGTTTTATGGCATGTGCTTATTTGCTTGAGGAGGAATTTGAGCTAGAACTCTCAGGGTGGTGGATGCTCATCCACAAGCCCATCACAGCCGCAGGCTCTGGCAGCTGTGGCTCTTATTAAAGCACCTAAGGGTTAAAGATGGGCAGTTTCCCTGCCCCCCAGTGAAGGTAATTACCCCCCATCTATTTAGCAGGGAAAGAATTTGCCATTGAGCAGATAGGGCCGGTTCAGGAGAGCCCTTCAGCCCCCAACAATATCGCATTACCCCGGTGCATAAAGAGCGGGAGCCGTTTCCGCTGGCGGGGCCATAATGGAGGTATCTCTTTACAAAGCCCCCACTTCAGGCCAGCTGAATGCCTCTGCCGAGCCTCCGAAATCCCGCAGCCCTAATCCCTTTAGCAACAAAGATCTGTTTCTTTGCTTAGCATGAAGTAGACCTCAGAGGCCGGTGTGTGCCTTGGCCTGTAGGCCAAAAGCCTCCTGTTTACAATTTCCCTATTCCTGTTTTTAATGTTGTTCTGAGAGCAGCCACAAAGGGCCGGTTTTGTCCAGCAGGAACAAGGGAGCTATTAGAGAGGGACGGAGGAAGGAAGGAAGGGAGATCCAAAAGGAGCAGCCCAGGAGGGATTAGCATACACAGCTGTTCCCTCAGGGACAGGAGCTTTATGCTTTTTATAATTTCCCTCTCATTTACATTTTTTAATATCTGGTTTCCTTGTTTCCAGCCCCCCTTCCCCCCACGTCTCCAGGACCATCTGCCCATTTTATTGGGTTTTTTTTTGTTTTCCAGGCGGGCGCATCCAGCCCAGGGTGTTCTCTGGCTCCAGTTTAAATCCTGCAATCCCTGTCAGCCGTGGGCTCGCTCACTCTGAGCCCTCTCTCTTGCCTGGCTCATTTTGGGAACGCAACGCTGAGCATCCCTGGATCGGGATGCCCAAGGCAAAGGGTTTCCATCCCTGAATTCACATTGTTCATGGCTCTGCCCAGGCCAGAGGGGAGAATAGCTGAGCTGTTTACAATATTGTTTCATAGACTGCTCAAAAGCAGCGCCTGTTTTCCAGAAGTGCAATGAAACATTTATGAGTACGGGACGTGGTGCAGCTCCGGAGCTCTGCAGGGGACAAGGGACAGTCGGGGTGTTTGATGTGCACATCCCAGCTTATGTGGGCTGTTGGCAAAGGAATGAGCAGGACACATTATCTCATTTTCACTCCCCTCTTCCAAGGTGCTGATCCCTCAGGTACCCTGGTTTGAGGGTGAGCAGAGCTCATATCCCAAGCCCAGGGCATGTGAGGTGCTGCGCTGCTCTGCTCTCCAGCTTTGCCTGGCTCTCTCTGTTTCTGTATGCTGCATAAATCCTGGTATAAATCTATGGAGCTGCAAAAGTCCTGTGCCTTCCCTGGAGTCCCTCAGGACAAGATGAAACAGCCTCAAGTTGCACCAGGGAAGGTTTAGATTGGATATTAGGAAATTTTTTTTCACAGAAAGGTTTGTCAAGCATTGGAACAGACTGCCTGGGGCAGTGGTGGAGTCATCATCTCTGGAAATGTTCAAAAAATATGTGGATGTGGCACTCAAGGACAGGGTTTGGTGGTGAACATGATGGTGCTGATAGACTGATGGTTGAACCTGATCTTGGAGGTCTTTTCCAGCCTTAAGAACTCCCCAGTTCTCTGCGATTTTAGGATTTACGTCAGTGAAGAAATAGACAAAGCAAAGCTGGATTCTAGGATTCTAAACCTTTGCTAATCCATGTTAACCATATTAAATCTGGACATTTATTAGAAAGAAGCAGGTTCTTCCCTCTGTGCAGAAGAGAGGTCATTTATCCATCCTTGTATAGCTCCCTTTTGGTTATTTCCAGTGCTCCAGCCTTTTTCTCGTGCTGAAGTTACAGCAAACCCTTCTGAATAATAACCTGTTCTTTTCCCAGCACAGGATCACTCCAAAACTCCTTCAGATTGTTAAATATATGTATTTTAGACAGATAGACACTCTAACCAGAATTCTACCCTGGCTGTAGCTAAATGTGGGGATGAATTTGAGTTTTACTGTGATATCTGTGATTGTTTCCCTGTATCTCTGGCATGAGGGATCCCATTGTACTTACCAAGTACATTGTGCATCCAAGATGTCTCAGCTTTTATGTGATTTTGTCTACATTTCTCAGGATTTAATATTTGAGGTTCCTTCTAGGGATGTATCAAAGGAAAAGCTGGATTTGAACTCCATTCAGAAAGTTTTCACATATCCAGAATTAGTGCTTATAAAAGTGATTTGGTTCTGTGGAAGATGTTTTATGAATCTCCTGGAAAATGGGGGGTTTTGTCCCACTGAGCAGAGCCTGGGCTGGGAGTGGGACCTGAGCAGGGCTGTGGTTTAACATCCTCCCCACTCACCCAGGGACATCCAGCCTAAACCCTTCCTTCCTGCCCAAAGTGGAATTATCATTAACTCGTAATTAGTTTTCAAGAACAGTTTTTTGGTTGTTTTTTTTTTTTTTTTGGTAGGCTGTGGAGTTCTTCCAAGAATTTTTCAATTTTTACAAATGAAAATATAAGCTCAACCAGATGCCAGTTAAAATGCAGTTCCTTTCTACCAGCCAGCCCAGGCACCACAGGCTCAGCATCACGACCTTTAAACAGCTTTTCTAGAACAAGCTGGGAGAACACTTTCTAAAAAGCCACAATTGCAGCTGCTCTCATTACTCATAACATCCCTGATGGAGAGGAACTTAAATATAATTCTTAAGGAACTTAAGCTTCAACAGCCCCCAGTAGACTTAGTTTATGTGCAGAGCAGGCTTCCCTCGTGGAATTACAGACTCGGGATGGTGATTATAGTGTTGATGATAATGTACATTTTCTAAATCATTACTTCTGTAAGAATAAAATAAAATAAAATAAAAGGAGTGAAGTCTTTGTTTCAATTTACTCATGCAGATGAATGGGTCAGGGATTTAGCCACTTGTTTCTAAAATCAGACACAGACTTCAATGTTGTCTCCACATATTTATTAAGCTAACAAGTTTATTACATATGTAAAATGCATTTGGACACACTGTATTTCAAATCAATAGAATAATTTGAGTCATCAGCTTTGTAGATGCATAATTACATGTTACTTCCTGGATTTTTATAATATTCCAAGCTGGTATTTAATTAAAAACTGGCACTTGGGATCCAGTTTCTTTAGGGTTTTGTGTATGGAAACCTGGACCATAATTTCAATATTTTTGTTAATATCTTGCAGCTTTCCTGACTCCACGCCCATCCTCTGCTCTGAGGTTGGCTTCAGGGTGCAGGGTAGGATTGTGAACCTGTTGAACTCTAGAGATCAAACCAACCAATTAAATCCAATTTATTTTACTAGAACCAACAAAGATTTTGCACCGACGCTGTCAGGACACTTCAGTCGTGATTGAACGATATTTTTTCTATCTGTGAATTTTCTGTTCTTAAATTAATTCAAATAAATATGTCAAGCTATGGATAAGAATTGTTCTGCCTCTTCTCCTTCTTTAAAATGGAAACAAGGCACGTTTTCATTAAACCCCTTTATTTTCACTCATTTCTTTCTACTCCTCTTGTAGCCCAGCACTTTGGATTTCAGGTTTGTCACCTTGTAAAGCCGTGGTTCTGCTGAGCCTCTCTGCTCCCCCAACAGCAGCAGGATATTGAGGATTTGAGCTGAGATCTCTGAGCAGCCACAACCCCCTGCTCTAACCCTCATTCCCACCCCAGACAGCTCCCTCAGCCCTACATTTCCTCCAGGTAAGACTTGATTTCCAAAAGATCTCGTTTCTGACCACCCAGTCTTTTCTTCTCGTCACTTTGTCCCAGCAAGGGGCTGCAGGGCCAGTTCCTTTCCCAGGGGACCCCGGGCTCCTGGGGCTGCTGTTTAACCCAAACCCTGGGGACAGGGATGTCATTCCAGAGGGGAGGATGGGAACCACAGCTCTGCTCTCCAGAGGATGGCTGCTCAGCACATTGTTCTGTGCTGGCAGGAACAAATTAGGGCTTGGTTGTTGCTCCAGGAAATTCCCTGTCTTCCCTCGATGAGGTACCCAGCTACCCCGAGTGTCTTTCTGCTGGCACAGCAGTGGATCCCCACACCCACACACAGGACTGGTGTCCTGGGGTGGGTTTTCTTTAGGGCTGACTTGGGAAGTGTGCCCATAGGAAATGAATGAATAATTCAATAATTTGTAGCTGGTTGGAGAGCTGGAGCACCTCCATGCTCTGGCCAGGCTTTGGGAAGTTGAGGAGCAGATGGAATGTTGGGCTGTGGCCTCTTTCATCCCTCGTAAAATTCTCCCATAGCTTTGGGAAGCTGTGGGCATTTGGGGAAAATGCTGGTGGGGGCTCTGTGCTGGTGTCCTGTGCTCCCTGAGCAGGATGTCTGCATGGGCAGGACCAGGCTCTCCCAGTAAGGATGGGGAACTGGGATGTGCCATGGCTCCAGGCACCAGAGCCAGAGGAGAGGCTTCCTCTTTCTGCTGTGTGCTTGCCAATGCAGCCTGGAGGAGAAAACAGAGCAGGAATCAAATAGAAAATCCGGATGTTTGGTGGAGGAGGGAAAGCTTGGGCGTGGAGTGAAGGCAGCCTGGAAAACCGTGGGGTGTTCTGTAGCCTGAGAGGGGAAAGGGGGGTGACAAGCTCTGGGACAGAGCCAGAGAACAGGAGGAGGCAGAGACCGTGGAAAGCAGCTGGGAAGAAACCTTTGTGGGAGGAAATGTTATTATTAGTGCTCAGTTTCCTGGACAAAAGATTCTTGTCTATTTAAATACTTGAGCTTCACAGAGCTGCAGCTCTCCAGACACAATAAAATCTGCCTTTTCTCCCTGTCATTGTCCTTTCCTGCTGGCAGCAGGTGGCTAAAGCTCCTGTGCTCTGCAGTAGGACATTGCAGGCTGCTGTGACCAGGGAGGACAAGCCCTGGGGACAGGGGCTTTGTCCCTTGTGCCCCCTCACATCTGATCATGGAGATGCTGCTCCCTCACAGCAGTGCAGATGCTGCTGGTAGAGAGATTAAGATCTATTAGATTTGAATAAAATTGGCAAATGCATAAAAAATTATTGAAAAGTTGAATATCTTGATAGAAACCACACTTAAGAAACCTCCTGGGCCATCCTCAGGCTTCCTCAGCCAACCATGGCGGGATTCAAGCACCAGCAGCAAAACACAGAACCTCACTAATGCCAAATAATCACAGCTAATGGATAATTGGAATTATTCTTTCCACCCAGGCATGCACAAAAGCCACACAGGGGTTGGAGTTGCTGCTGTGGGGGGAAGAGATGCAGGTTCTGTGCAAGGTGATGCTCACACCTGAGCTGTCTTTGGTGAGTGAGGTGAGGTGCTGCCCTGGCCCTGCTGTCTCCATCTGATTTTCTCTGTGTGCTTCAGCAGGTCAGGCTCTTTCCCACAGAAATTCCAGATGATTTCCTGTGATAGGTGAGAAATACTTTTCCTGCCTGTCTTGAAATGTTGAAATGTGACAATAACAGTATGGAATTTTCTTTGTAGAATCCTGATTTTTTATTTTTTTTTTTTCTGTATCCAGGTAGCTTGAGTTTAATATCAGATCTATCCCTATAATGGTAGAAATGGGACTTTTATTCCATAAAAAGATGGGAGATGTCTCACTCTGCTCTTTTCCTGATTATAATCATTGCTTGTTCCAAGCCATGCAAGACTTTGAAAAGTCAGCCTTCCTGAACACATGACAAATGTATCACAGAATCACGGAATATATCACAGAATCACGGAATATCCTGTGTTGGAAGGGACCCACAGGGATCATTGAGCCCAGCTCCTGGACTCGACATAAATATGAATTTATATGGAATTACTACACAAGTGCAGATGTGCTTAAAGCAGTGTGAGGGAGCTGCTGTGGGGCTCGTGGCTGTCACGGAGGACACACAGGATGCACAGTTGCTAAAGCACTAAAAGCACGTCCTGTTCATCTCAGTGGGGAGCGTTTCTGGGTTGGGATTCTGGAAAACTGAACAGTTCACTCCTAGTGAATGAATAAATGCAGCCAACCTGCAGTCATGCCAGTCAGACATAGATTTTAACCAGAGAGTTTTGGAAGATAACAGCAGCCATTCTTTAAATGCAAATCACTTGGGGATGAGCTGCCAGTGTTCTGTAGGTGTGAGTTTGATTTGCTGGTTTTGTCAGGGTAGGTACAGCTCCAGCTGTGTGTGGCCTCCAGCCTCAGCACCGATGTGGCAGCCCTAGCAGCTCATGCTTGAATTTCACAGCAGCCTGCACTGTTCTGTGCTGGACTCGTGCTTCTGCACCGGGCTCCATCCACCCCAGAGCTCTGAGCTTGTCCCCCGTTACCTGGGGATCCTTCTCCCTTCACCCCATCACCTGGGGATCCTTCTCCCTTCACCCCATCACCTGGGGATCCTGCACCCCTCACCCCCGTTACCTGGGGATCCTGCTCCCCTCACCCCATCACCTGGGGATCCTTCTCCCTTCACCCCCTTACCTGGGGATCCTTCTCCCCTCA